CTTTGCAACTTCATTTTCTCAGCCAGAAAATGGAGATAATTACTTTTACTAGTAATCCTCCAAGAGCTCTCGATGAAAGGAGCGTTTGCCTGAGTGGCCCATCCACCCGGGGCTCAGCCTGCCTGGAATGCCTCAGGGCTTTCCCGTGGTGCAGGGTGGGGAGGGCAGGTGGGAGGTGTGGGGCGGGCAGGCAGGCAAGCCCGGCAGCGCTTTGCACTGCACACGCAGGGGCCAGCCAGGGGCTGGAAGGAGACGTGCAATGGGGCTGCAGGTCATGCGCTTTGGCTGGCATGTAGCCCGCAGGGAGAGCTTGAGGAGTCACCTTGTGTTCCCCCATGGGACAGCATCTGGGGCACAGCCAAATGAGGTGCTGGTGGAGCAGTGTTCTTCTTCCCACCTGGATCCTGCCCTTGTGCTGAGGAGTAGGGGCGTGACCCTTGAGCTGCCTGGGGCCTGAGATCCCCACAAAATCTAGGTGGTTCTCTGCATATTTTTTGTGTCTCAAGTAGGATGAAACTGCTCATTATGGGTCTGTAGGCCTAATACAGTGGGGGATTTTTCCTAAGATTATGCTTCTTCCACAACCAAAATCATTACAAAAAATTCTGGTGCATGTTGCAGTATCCAGTTTGTGTATTTTATGGTCATAGGTCATCAATGTCACAACTGCACAAAGCACATAAAGGAGAGGAAAATGGGCAAACGGCTATCTTTCTTCATGAGGGGGCTGGATTTTTACCACTAAAAAGAGTTTAAATGGCAAAACATCACCCTGGATAGCCCCTCATTCTCTGTTTCGGACCTGGGAAATGTTTGTTTGGATGAATTGAGGATCCTGTAATTTCTCCACTCTCCCTTTCCCTCCCTTGTCATCTGGTTTAAAGTTACTTTTTGACTTGTGACTTTTTGGTATGAATTTGGTATGAAGTAGTGTTGGTGCAAGTTTTCCTTGAAAACGAAAGAAAACGAAAGAAACGAAAACAGTTGTAGTTTTTGCTGCCCCATTACTTCTATTAGCTGGAGCATGTGGTAGTGAAAGATTGTCTCGGTGTGGCTGTATCTCTTAAGCAGTCACTCCACTTTAGTGCCCAGGTCTTCGTGCCTTTTATAGTAAATAAATTTCATTGCTGGGGAGAAAGATACTTGTATGCACTTATGGCACCTGGAATAGTGATAGCAGGAGGCTTCTGGGCTAGCACAGGCATCTTAACCACTGCTTTCCAGTATTGTTAAATACCTACAACTGATCTAAAGTAACACTTACATTGCATTTTATAGCTCTAATGTTGCTTAGTGGCTAGAACGTGCTGCACTCTAGTGTCTCCCTTCACTCTGTATAAAAGGGGAAAAATAATAATTGCTTATCTGTAAAGCTTTTTCTAGTTCTGTGGTTGATAAATAATAGGACTATGATTATTAGAAGTAGGTTTTATTTCATAGTCTTCTAAGATACTTTAATCTTAGGAAGAGGAGATTATAGATATGAGGTACTTTGGACTGAAGGCCTCTAGGAGGATAATATCTGTTTCTGAATATTTCTGCATAATTCTACGAGAGTTTTCATGGCAAACTGAAGAGGAAAATTGTTCCTTGCTGTACTCAGCGTTTTGCTAAGTACTGTTCATTCCCAATAGCTAAAGCAGCCTGAATACAATGAGGGCTTCTTACTAACCTATAACTACGTTAATGCCTTTCTTGCCACAAGTGTAGTTTCTCTCAGGAAAAAGCCAAAAAAATTGCACACTGCAGAATGCACACCAGGGACATTGCCAACTGCTAATGCAACTTGCCTGCGAAAATGAAGCAGTATTTACAAGACTGCCTTGCTTTGGGGAAAACTTTCAGTGGAAACTAGTTGCTGTGAAAGGAAAATCTGGTCTGAAGAAGGTTTGGGTGCTTTGTTGTACCTTCAGGTACACAGGATCTGCAAACTACTTGTGACAAAAGTCTCTCTTCTAGTAAATGCTCTGTTACTTCGAGCTTTATGAAACTCTGAAAATAGTTTAAATAGGCAGTGGGCACCAGCAGAGGATAGTCCTTGTCACATACTTTGGCACTTCCAGTTCTGATAACATGAAGCTCGGTTATGTTTGAATACCATTTGGTGGCTAGCCTATCTTCAGTAACAGTTTGCTGTGCCTGCCATTTAACAGTAACCAGTTTAGATAAGATAGGAGAGATTTGTATCTTTGAATCCTGAAGAAATGAAAATAAGATGCTGAATCTGGTCCTAAAGCTGAGGATCTTGTCTTATATTCCTGATGAGAACCTTAACAGTTTGACTTGATGATCTTAAAGGTCTTTTCCAACCAAAACAATTCTATGATTCTAAAATAAGGTTGACTTGACAGTAACACGGGGATTGCAGACTGGGGTTGGGGGAAGAGGGTTGTCTTATCTGCTCTTTGCAGAAAGATCTTGTTATTATCTGTTTGTGTGACTTTAACAGAGATGAAGAAAAACAATGTGTATGTTTCCATGAGCAGAAACAAGCACATTCCCTTGGTAAGAAGTGTTCAGGAAATTTGTTGTGGGGCCCTGTGTAATGCTACAGTTCTGCTGTGGAATCAGTCTCTTAAATCCATAGTCCAAGCTCAGGAGAGACCTTCCTGATCATGGTGTTTTACCCCTTGCACAGAACAGGCCAAAGATTTTCCTACACAAACTTTAAATATATGGATATTAAGGCACAGAGGTGGTTCTCCCAATTTACATTTTGGAATTTAAGCTTTACCCTTGCAACTTAATCTAACTCAAATGAATATAAATGCAGCTTTATAAAATGATTTCATTGCTGGGGAGAAGGATACTTGTACGCATTTATGGCACCTGGAATAGTGATAGCAGGAGGCTTCTGGGCTAGCACAGGCATCTTAACCACTGCTTTCCAGCCCTGTTAAATACCTACAACTGATCTAAAGTAACACATTGCATTTTATAGCTCTAAGCTGTTTTCCCTGTGTAAAAATTGTTAAGCTAGAAATTTTACTGCACTGCTAGGAGAGGTGAGCTGTCACTGGTTCAGCTCCTCATGCTGTCAGCTTTGGAACTTGGAGATGACAAACATTGGCACAACAGAATATACTTACACTTTGCCTCCAGGACATCTTTTGGTATATTGTGAGAAAAGCCTGCCCTTGGCTCTCCGAGGTGCTGTAGCTTTTTTCATGTGATGATTTCTGATGTGGTTACAATTGCCAATAGAGAAATTGCTGGCAGATTAAAAATGTGTGGGCGATGTCAAATGAACTGGTATTTAAAAATGCACACAAAAGACCCTGCTGGTTTGGTTGTATTAGTTTACATTTATTCTTAATTTCTAAAACTTATGACTTTATATTTTTTTTAAAAATTGGAACAGAGCAGCCACAGAATCAATAGATTGTTGCCCTTTCAAACAATAACAGTGAAGGCTAAGCTCATGTCATGAAAGACTGTCTGGGCTTTGTCATCTCTAAAGACAGCCAGGAGTTGTCTAAAGACAGAAAAAAGTTGCACTTGTAGCCATGTTCCACAAAGATCTGTGCAAACTGTGTTTAGCTTGTGGGGGAATAACAACCATATTTATTTCTTGAATATCACCAAGAATGATAGTATTGCATGTTTCTGTGCCTAAAAAATGAGGTGTTTTCTCTGTGTTTTCTCCTTCAACTTCCTCAGCAGCAGGGCGCGTGGCATCTGTGGCATAGCCAGGGCTTATGAGGGCTTCATGGTGGTTGATCAGAATCTGACAAGGCCATGTGGAGGCGAGGTAGCAGAGTGAGCTCAGCGTGAAATGAGGCTGGCTGGGTGGGAAGAAAGCAGTTCTGTTACATGTGAAAGAGTTAATTATGGTTTGGGGAGTGGAAAGAGTTTCCTGAAGCTGAGCACTAGTCGAATTAGAAGCACTGTGCAGATACACAACATACCTTTGGCTGATCATCTCTCTTTTCACCTGATGCTGAAGATGTAGTGGAAAAGAGAAGATTTTGCTTTATATCTTTTGTGTGCCATTCAGTTACACAACTTTTTTGTTTGGTTATTTTTTTTTTGTTCTCTCTCCTTTCTCCCACATCTCCACTCTCCAAACTGCCAACTACATCTACTGCTTCTATTTTTCTGAAGTGGGAAGACTTTGAAGTACAGAAGCTTTGCCAAAGTTTTTTTGTGGTTTTTATCCAAGCTAACTTCTTCTATTTCTGTGGTTTATTTGGGGCTACATATTCATCTATATGGAGATGATGATCAGAGTGCAAAATACAGGCATTTTGTATTTGGCCTAGCAATTACTTCTTATTCTGTAGAAAACAAAACACACATAAAAGTCCTGCTTACTCTCAAAATATCTGGTTATCAGACCTCTTTTGCAGAAGCTCCCTAATGTATCCTTTTTGTAATGGACTGATAATGAGTGGGTTTATTCCCTTGTGTAACACTTCTCAAAAAACTCCCATTGTGTTTGTTTGTTTATCTTTTATTCCACTGTTCATCTTTTGTTCCTTTCTGGTGAAATAGTTTTCTTTTTCTGCAGTTTGTATTATTTTATACAGGCTGAATGGCTAACTGTATTTAAAAGTATTTGTAAAGTAACTCTGGCCGACGAGTTTAGGCACCTCTGTTCTTGCATCTATGCTAATTGAAATGGAATGCTTGTATTTCTGGCTGGCTGTGTTGGGTCATTATATAAGGGGCAAGATGGGATAGGAGGCTGCTATTGAAGACGTCTGGAAGATTTGCCCAAATTTGCTGTTAATGGGATAGGATATTTTCACCCTCCCCCTCTCTGTTTTGTTCTTTTCCTTTCTCTTCACTTTGCAGGACTGCTTCAATTGCTTCATCGTCTTGCAATGCATGTCCATGTCACAACCTGACACTGTGGGGAACTGGTAGTCCAAGGCTGACTCTTTGCTTTTGCTGCAGGCTGAGTCCTTGGGTTTGAAGACTCGACATCACTGAGACTGATGCTCGGACCTTCAAGAGAAGAGACTTTCTGACGGCTGTGCTCCACTCCACCTGACCCTATGACTGGAGGGTTCACCGTAGCTCCGTCCTTTGCTCTCCAGTTCCACAAGATGGGTTCATTCAGAAGGCCCCGACCTCGCTTCATGAGCTCCCCAGTCCTCAGTGACCTGCCACGGTTCCAGGCAGCCCGGCAGGCTCTGCAACTCAGCTCTAACTCTGCCTGGAACAGGTGAGCAGGACCCACTGAGGCTGAGCTCTCACCCTGCAGCAGCCCCGTGACAAGGATTAATCTTTGTGCTTCAGACCATTTATGGATAAGCTCGTCTGTTTATAAGCATGCATAAATTTTTGGCATGCCCAAGCTTTGCTGGCATTGAATGCATCTGTGGAGATGAAAAAAATTAGACCTAATAGTGTTCAGCCTTGTTTTTGGCCAATATTGTTCAAAGGTACTGTCTTGAAGTAAAACAGAATTGCTCTTTGTTAATAATTGTATCTTTTAAGTACCATTTAGGAAAACACATTCCTAGTATTGTAAAGGCCGGTTTCTTAATGCACAACAGGCATTTATTTGCATATTATGCAGCTTTTACCACAGTCAAGTTCCTCCGACAACTGCTAAGCTTGTGGGTTCTACCAGCGTTTCCTATTGACAGCCAAATCCTGTCTGCAGTGCGTGGTATGCAGCAATGGCAACTGGAAAAACAATGTGTAGGGTGAAGAATGAGATGTCCTGATCTGAGCTAATGGTCTGCTGCTACCAAATGTGGGTTTTCCCACCTTCCTTTCTGCCACCTTGCACCAGCTCTGCGCCCAACAGACCCCTCTCTCTTGCTGACCTAGCTCGGCTTACTAAAGTCGCACAAAAGTAGCCCAGCAAAAACATTGCAGTTTTGTGCTAGGATAGTGACCTGAAGTCTGTGAAGTGTGCAAATGCTATAACTGGCCCTCAGAAGGGAATGCACATTAAGGGAATGACACCTCCTCTTGTTAGCCATGGCAAGCCTTTAGACCTGCTAAACCATCTTGTATGCTGTCACTTCATGACTTCCTCTGTGCTGGTGAGAGAAGTATGAGTTAGTACATATTCCAACAATATCTTACAAGCATTAACAGGGCTTAAAGTTGGGTCTGATTGAGGTGGTGCTGGCTGCAGATCGTCTTCCAGCACAGCCAGGGTCCTGCCATATGCTGCAGATTGGGTGGTTCCTGCTAGCATCACTGGATAATCCAATTGATGTGTTTGGCAGATATTGCCAAAAATCTGTGTCTCCTTATAGCAACTAGCCTGCAGCACACAGCAGAGATCCCCTAAACAGTCGTGTTAAAGATATATCTGGTGTGAATGTGTTCTTTGTGAACAGTGTCCATGTAACAACTTTCCCTTGCTTACTTTAGGCATCACTTGAGATTGGTTCTGCTCTGTCTCCCATAAGAGATGTAGGTAAATAACAGTGATGATTTCCAGGGGAGAAAGAGTGGAAGTATTTAAGTTCAATTAACCTCTCCACCCCATTATAACCACTTAGCTTTTGGCTGCTAGCTCACATTGCGCTCTGTGTTAAATCATAGTGGTGGCTGTTATTTATGGATGTTGTACTGTCTCATTTTTTTTGGCAGTGTTCAAACAGCAGTGATAAATGTATTCAAAGGGGGAGGCTTGCAGAACAATGAACTTTACACCCTAAATGAAAATATCAGGTAGGTTGCTGAAATGCTTGAAAAGGGATTTTTGTTTCTGCTTGTTTGATGTTTACTTGGTTTTGTTCCCCTGCAGAACTGCAGTTAGAGGATATTGGTTGGAGGAGCAGGGATTGAAGCAAACTTAAGCACAGCTTTGGGGTTTCAGGCTAACTTCTTTTTTGCTATTGAATGAATGGCATGAGACACTTGGATAATGTTTCTCTGACTTGTGTGGATGTGTAGCTTTGACAAGGACGGGATGTAAATTGACTTGGATTATAAGGATTTTGTCCCCTCCTAGGGAGTTTGCCTCTTCTGTCTGTGTTTTACATATTTTTATGAGGGCATTCGTGATGGTAGTAACATCTCTTTTCTAAACCCAAGCTTCTTAGAACCACATAGTGTTTAAAATGAAAGCAAAACACAGCATTTCATTTAAAAGCTTAATCTTCACATGATAATTGCAGAGCAAAACCTGAAAATACAAACCCTAAAGATAAAAAAACCTAAAAGCCTAACAAACATTTTCTAACACTGATGCTAGTGATGATTAAAAGTATCTATCTTTTTTTTCTTAAGCAGGTTTCATGATTATCTGTGGTTTCATTCTGATTATTTGGAAAGTTTGGTTAGCAATAGATAGGACTGTAGAGTAGATAAACAACGATTTATTCCTGCCTTGCTTCCAAGTGCTTCTAAGAGGAGTATTGTCAGAGCTTATGGATGTAGTTCTTCCTG